AAAAAACGCGCCTGATTTAAATGTCACAGCTGGACGCTCACATCCTTTTAATTATGTTTGAAATTATGAACATTGCTCAACATCATGAAAATTAAACCTTATTTTCAATAAGCAATCCTGAAAAATATTTGGGGGTGCTTAACTTTTTTCCAGGTGTATAGTTGTTATTGGGAGAGTTTAAAACTACAATCGCTTTTAAAGTATAAAATTATATCCCTATCTTAACATAATATTTCGCATACACATTTAAAGTAGCTGTAATCTTATTACACTTCACCATTATCTTGGTCATTAATCACTTCTAAAGTGTAGAATGTCCTATAATGAAAGCTTGACAAATTAATGAAATAGCAGTTTTACATTATATCCTGACAAAACTAATCGATTATTGAGTATACTAAAATAACTAAAAGCCCTTATTTTTGCCATCGTGTTGAATGTGTTTAGAGTCAACTAAAAAAAGTGTTAGTTTACAGTTAGGCATTGTTATGCATGTTTTATGTCGTATGGTTATTTTGTTTTCAGAATATAAACGAAAAGTTACATTGAGGTCTATCTGCACATAGTTGCTCTAATATTGGTCTGAAAAACTGGAGAAACATCGCATAGAAACTCTTGTGCTACTCGAATAGAACACTCAAGGCTCCAAAGTATGGAATACGTTTTTGCGACAGTAGGTCGTGATCCATGAATCTTCGGATTCACCTCTAAGCTCGTTTTCCCAGTAGCATGTTACCATCATGTATAGTTAGTACTATCTAGATAACTCCTTTTTTTTGCTGGTTGAACTGAACAACTGATTCACCAATATTTCATGAATTGAGTTGCGATCTTTATTTCACGCAGCTTGGAAGAATAATTAATTCTACTGATTAAAATGTACGTTCAAAAGGCATGTGTATTTGTATATGTAGTGTTAGAAATGAAATTGTATTTGGAATTTTGCTACTTAAAGATAAGAAGTTTGACCAGAAAATAGTTTTATTTTTATATCAAATGAGAAACATAGCATGCTCCTATTATGCCTTTCCACCCTGTTGTCGATATTAACCATATTCCTTGAATAAATCTGTCAATAGCTTATTAACAGATCAGCTTTCAGAACTTCATGATAAACGAGTTCTTTGTAACTTGTTGTCCACGGTAGAGTCTACATGCGCGCGTGACTTTATTCAGAGCTTTTTAACGAACCGCAGAACACAAGTGAAAACAAATAACACATCCTCTGTAAGCGCACGTTAAGGCCGAAATGATTGGATTCCATTGCTTTTAAGGCTGATATTGTTTGTCTTTTTATGCTCTTACTAGGTTTTTTATTTTTTATTATTGTTCTAAAATTTTGTATGAAATGTCACTGGACTTTCTTGTTAATTTTTATCCACCTGATACTTATTGGAATTTTTGTACCTAAGTAGGAACTTGCGGTTATAGTCAGTTTACACATACTTTCTTGTTTGGTGACCTTATACGACTTACTGTTCTTTGTGGAATTTATAAAGTTCCAATAACAAAAAAAAAAGATACAAAACATGTGAAAATCGATGGATAGCCCTTTCTTTTATCAATATTTCACTCAGTAGAACGAAATGTTCCCTACATTTTGTTTTCCAGTGAATAAAGTTTCAATCCTAATTGGCTGGTGAATCTTTAAAAATTTTAGGTATACTTAATTTGAATATAATAACTTTTAAATATATATATATATATATATTCTAAAAATGCTGTCCCAAAATAAAGCAGAAGAACATTTTATAGTAGTCTTAGTTTGAGCAAGTATCTTTAATGATGGGGTTTCGTCTATTTGTTTTAGTTCAGTAGTCTTAGCTTTAGTAAATATCCTTAAGGATGGCGTTTCGTCTATTTGGTTTAGTCCAGTAGTCTTAGCTTTAGTAAATATTCTTAATGATGGCGTTTCGTCCATTTGTTTTTGTCCAGTAGACTTAGTTTTAGTAAATATCCTTAAGGATGGCGTTTTGTCCATTTGTTTTAGTCCAGTAGTCTAAGCTTTAGTAAATATTCTTAAGGATGGCGTTTCGTCCATTTGTTTTTGTCCAGTAGTCTTAGTTTTAATAAATATCCTTAAGGATGGCGTTTCGTCCATTTGTTTAGTCCAGTAGTCTTAGTTGTTACAGACTGAGTTTTAGTAAAGATCCCTAAGGATGTAATTTGCCATTTATTTTAGTTCTTGTTAGATTGTATGAAGCTACTAGACAATTATATTTCTTATTAATTACACTACAAATCCAAGAAAAACGTTTAAATTCAAAGTAGCCGAAAACTTTCCCCTCCAAATATAATAAAGTTATTGAGCACTTAAACTTATAAGCCTTTAACCTTTTCATATGTTACCATGTACAACCGTCGAGATTTAGTGTGATTTGTAATGAACAGAAAGACGTTTCTTTCCATTCTTTTCTTGATGATACCTCCAAAGTTAAGAAAAACATTTAAACTCTCCAAAGGATTTCATGCTGCTATCATAGGAGGAAGGTAGGGTCACATTGAATATCGTCATTCAATGACTGTAACAATCAGAAAACACTAATTAATATTAATGTGTTTCCAATCACCTTATTGAGATAGTTAAATTAAATCAGTCTTTTCTCCTGACTATTTAAAGTCCCTAAGGGATGAAAAAAAAAGTTTCAAATTACCACATGTGCAGTGGAAATTGTAAAACAGAAAAAAAACTTTGAATGTTTACCTAGCAATATATTCTTAAAATAGTTAAACTTTGAATGTTTACTTAGGAGTATATTCTTAAAATAGTTAAACCTTGAATGTTTACCTAGGAGTAAATTCTTAAAATAGTTAAACTTTGAATGTTTACCTAGGAATATATTCTTAAAATAGTTAAACTTTGAATGTTTATCTATGAGTATATTCTTAAAATAGTTAAACCTTGAATGTTTACCTATGAGTATATTCTTAAAATAGTTAAACTTTGAATGTTTACCTAGGAGTATATTATTAAAATAGTTAAACTTTGAATGTTTACCTAGGAGTATATTCTTAAAATAGTTAAACTTTGAATGTTTACCTAGGAGTATATTCTTAAAATAGTTAAACTTTGAATGTTTACCTAGGAGTATATTCTTAAAATAGTTAAACCTTGAATGTTTACCTAGGAGTATATTATTAATTTAATTAAACCTTTCTAAATGGGCTTGATCATTTTGACTAATATTGCAACCATCATGTAACCATAAAACTATACATACTAACACTTTTAATTTATTATTTGTATATTCATGAAACTTAGCAGCCTTTTATTAAACATTAAATATTTTTACCAAATATTTGTATGTAAGGTGATTTTCATGTTAAGATTAAAAATACTTTTTCATTTTAGAGTTTTTAAATGTCATTTGCGTATCCTCTAGAACCTCCTAAATGAATATCAACTTTTTTTTTCTCAGTAAAACATTATATTGATGATGACAAAACCTTGTCGAAACGTTGTACATTTGCTGTTATGTTAAACTTATATTAAAGTTTTTATTCATTACCCATTCAAGCCGTCTCCAGCTATTATTATACTTTATTTGTTGTTTCTTTAATTAAAATTCATAAAGGTACTTAAATATTTGAAAACGCTGAGTTTTATTTCTTTTCCATATTCCTACACATTTGAAGGTATTGGCTATTTTACATTATTTTGATAACTATTGTGAAAGGCGAAGTATAAAACATCTTGTTTCAAGGAAGAAAAAGTGTAGGAGAAACGTTTAAAAATTTCAGTATTGAGAGTAGAAATGATAATAAAGTGTTCGTAGTGAAGTGACTGTAGTTTACATGAACATAATATCAGTATAATTGTTCTAATAGATATGCCTGTATAAAAATGAATTAATAATCATATTTATATAATGAAATATCACAGGTCAATCTGTTTTATTAGTTGTTTTTCAATATGATTTACTGAATTTTTGTTCCAGCGTGTTTATAACTGTCATTAAAAATAGAATGTCTAAATAACCATACCTCTATAACGAAATACCTTAATTAACACATATTTGTAAAAGTAAATGTCGTAATCGACACACCTGTACAAACAAATACCTTAAAAGGGTTTGTTTGTTTCTTCGTAATTAAGCATAAAGCTGCACTATGGGCTATCTGTGCTCTGCCCACTACGGTTATCGAAACCCGGTGTCTAGCGTTGTAACTCCACATAGATATCGCTGAGCATTCATCTTTAGCGGAAGATGTTGAAGAAATCACAAAACTTCCTAGAATAATACTAGCACAACTCATCCAAGTATATGGGTCTCTAGGCTTAAGTAAAGTAAAAAACTACTCACCTAACATTCAAGACTGCTTTATGACAATAGAAAATTATTCAGCAAACAATTCATCACTGACAACATATTTATCTACTAGAAAGATTTACTCACCTAACATTTTGATGACTGATTTACGTGAAGAGCTGCTGACGGAAGATTTAAGGGTCTGCCTGGAAGAGTTACCATGGACACTTTGACAGTTAAAACCATTAGTCGATCCGTGAGTTGTTTCACCACGAGACAGTTCTAGGGAACGCCTTAACTGAAGAGCAATGAACACATAGAGAACAAGAATCAAGCTCATGGGAAAGATAAAAACCAGAAGAGTTGAAAGTCCGAAAGCATGTTTCAGTGGTCTTTCTACCATGCATAGGGCATACTCAGGATTGTTGAATAAATTTACGATACCAAACTGAAAAGCTATAGCCGCGGCTGCTAGTGCTGCTAGAATCCAGATAACAATGATCAGTTTAACTGCCCGCGATAGTTTGGACATTGTGTGAGCTAGAAGAGGATGGCAGATGGCCAGGTATCGCTCTACTGTGAAGGCTGTGATGGTCAATATGGAAGCGTTTGTTGAAGTCTCTGACGTCAGACCACGGAAAAAACAAAAGAATTCTCCAAATACATAAGGATAGCTCTGCCAGAGCTGATACATTTCTTGAGGAAGTCCGAACACCAGCAGTAAAAGGTCTGAGATGGCCAAGCTAAAGAGGTAGTAATTTGTAGCTGTGTGCATGTATTTGTTTTTAGCAATCACAACACATGTGCAGATATTACCTACCACTCCGGTGACCAAAATGGTAATGTAGACCAGGGTCATGGGAACAACAAAGAAGAGAGACTTTCTTTTTGGACCCATGTAGCCTCCGTAATCCAAAGATGTGCTGCCGTTTCCTAGAACGGACATTAGGCCTACTGATGCATTTACATCCGTTAATAAAGTGAAATTTTCGTCCTGTAGCGTGTAAAGAATATTATCACTTTCCATTTCAGGGAATCAGATTACAGAATGTGTGTTAATATATAACAACAATGTTCTCACTTTAGTTGAATAACTTTCTTCAACACGAAGTATTCTGATTCACGAGGCCGTATACAGTTATTATGTTCTCAAATGCTGTGACGGAAAAAATTCTAACTATTTCTAAATGGAAGCGGATTTAAGAACAGTTAAATGTTCTTTCCGTGATCTCTCGAACCGCCGAATAATTAGCTTTAACCTTACCGTACACTTAGAGCATAGTAACGGCTGGAGCATAAGTAACTCAAGCCAGTGTGGTTGAACGTCACATATCACGTGATGTCACGTAATATTAGTTTGATCCACCGCTTTATGCTTATTCAATAACGTAGTAAGGAATTAGCGGGACGGTTTCTGGTTTATAAATACTTACATGCTTTGTTCTCGTGTTTGTAATATTAAAATGTAAAGAATGTATAATTTCTAACGTTCATTATTCATATAAACTATTTCTTTGTTTAACATAAGTATCATATTTGTTCCTTATGAGTGAAATAAAAAAATTACCATATTACTGATGTTGATTATTAAGCAAAAAGGGATATTTGTGCTCTGCCCACCACGGAGATCGAAACCCGGTTTATAGTAGTATAAGTCCGCAGACATACCGTTGTACCACAGGGGGAATACCATATCATTGTTTTAAAAGTGAACGCTATTGACTACCGTCATGCCAAACTTTCGAAAGTGAAAGCCAAGTCAGGTTGTTTGAATTAAGTAACATCTAGGATTGAATTGGCATACGACCTAGACCAAATTTAACATATCCCGAATTAGATTTCTTTAAGATGTGGAAATATGAAATACACACTATAGACTAGTCATATATGTGGTTTTGGCATACCAGCTATTTAAAAAGAAGTGTAAATCATTGTTTGGTAAATAACTGAAGCTATGCTGAACAAACAGAAAATAAAAGTACTAATGTTATATTAAAGAATTGTAAATCATTGTTTGGTGAATACCTAAAGCTATGTCGAACAAACGGAAAATAAAAGTACTAATGTTTTGTTAAAGAAGTGTAAATCATTGTTTGGTAAATACCTGAAGCTATGTCGAACAAACGGAAAATAAATGTACTATTGTTTTGTTAAAGAAGTGTAAATCATTGTTTGGTAAACACCTGAAGCTATGTCGAACAAACAGAAAATAAAAGTACTAATGTTATATTGAAGAAGTGTAAATCATTGTTTGGTGAATACCTAAAGCTATGTCGAACAAACAGGAACTAAAAGTACTAATCTTATATTAAAGAAATGTAAATCATTGTTTGGTAAATACCTGAAGCTATGTCGAACAAACAGGAACTAAAAGTACTAATGTCATATTAATAATATTTTTATTTAATTTTCATCCGAAACATTTTGCTACTATTTTACGTTTCTAATTCTACTGGCACGTTGAAGAACTTGAAATATATACAATTATTTTTGTGAAACGTTTGATAAGTTAATATTGATATATTCCTAGGTTAACAATGGTGTATTGTTAAGTTAGCAGTGGTGTATTGTTAAGATAACAGTGGTATATTATTAAGTTAACAGTGGTGTATTGTTAAGTTAACAGTAGTATATTGTTAGGTTAACAGTGGTGTATTGTTAAGTTAACAGTCGTATATTGTTAAGATAACAGTGATATATTGTTAAGTTAGCAGTGGTGTATTGTTAAGTTAACAGTAGTATATTGTTAAGTTAACACTGGTGTATTGTTAAGTTAACAGTAGTATACTGTTAAGTTAACGGTGGTGTATTGTTAAGTTAACAGTCGTATATTGTTAAGATAACAGTGGTGTATTGTTAAGTTAACAGTGGTGGAGTCAACCCACGAGAAATGCTTTTTTTTTGGTGAATGGTACTTGACATTTCTTTTCGCTTAATACTGAAAAGATACGTTCACTTTTAAAATAGAAATTATGTCATCTATTAGAAAACACACTGTAAAAAGTCAACGATACCTGATTTTTTCATACATTTCAACATAGATATTCAAAACTTAAATCAGTAGAGTATTGTAATCTACAACAAGGCTTAAAGACAAAACTCTAGTCAACCTGAGAGGAAGCACGATGATGAAAATAAGGTAGCTGATTACTTAATGTAAAGAGTTTGTATACCTGTATATGTAAAATAACAAAAAAGTTTTTTGATCGTCAACATTCTAATTAGGCTATATAAAAACGCTAATATTATTTAAATACTATGAATTATAATGTAGAAAGACATTTATTTATAATATACACTTCTTGATATTTTCTAGTTTTATGGAAAACTTCACACATGATGGTTAACATATATGTTCGACGAACAAATATTTTAATCAGATTTTTATTGAAAGAAATATTAGTATACAGAGACTATATCAAAGCTAACGCAGTAAATTATCGTATAAAAATTCAAATATTGTATTTATTGAGAGATTTTAAAACTCTTTTGATATCATAATCATCATTAGTTAATGGTTCTATGAATTAACTTTAACTTTACTGATATAATCCATTAAAAAAAAACGATTTTGGTTAGTCTGGACTCGCATGGCCAGGTGGTTAGGGCACTCGACTTGCAATCTGAGGGGCGCGGTTTCAAATCCTCGTCCCACCAAACCGGTTCGTCCTTTCAGCCGTGGAGGCATTATAATGTGATAGTCAATCGCATTATTCGTCGGTAAAAGAGTAGCCCAATTGATGGCGGTGGGTGGTGATAACTAGCTGCTTCCCTCTAGTCTTTCACTGTTAAATTGGGGATGGATAAGGCAGACAGCCCTTGTGTGCGTATCTTTGCGCGAAATTCAAACCAACAAGTTTGGTTGGCTGATTTTATATTCAATATATTTTCATACAATAATAAACTCATTTGTCCAGGAAATGGTTCAACACTTGTAAGATGACATGCTCAACATATTTCCTTCGTCGGGGTCTTGTTTGTTTGTAATTACACACAAAGCTACACAAGGGCTATCTGTGCTCTGCCCACCACGGGTATCGAAACCCGGCATCAGGGTCTTCATATACATTAAACATACATTTCTATTACTTTTTATCACTTGCGGTTGTTATTAGAGGATAATTATGAGGAACTAACATGTATGCAACTTACCAGGTTTATTTCTTTAAAACAAAGTGAGTTCTACAGTAGAATATTCCATATTATTACAGTAAGGCAGCGTCAAGCTGATATAATAAAATGAGATTATTGCTTGATAACGATAAATGGAAATATTAACTAACGTTACCCGGTTGGACAGCGGTAGGTTTACGGACTTACAACGCTAAAATCCGGGACTTGATTCCTCGTGATGGACATATTAAACATGGCTTTACTCTAAAAGAAACAAAAAATCAATTGGCTTTTAACTAAGCCAGCAACACAGCTGATATTTCATATTAATTTTCACCGTTTGATTCTTTTTATACTTTCCACTCCACAAAAAATATAATATTCACACAAGAATTACAGTACCTAATATTTCGCCATTTTGCTCATCAAACAAGATAATATTAAATCATTAGAAATAAAAAAAGAAATTAGTTTGTATTTTTAAGTACGCCTACAAGATGGCGCTACTAATACAATCATATTTGAACTTTGAAACGAAATTTCAGTAGTTTGCTTTGGAATCTATTTTATATGTAATGATATAATTTGAAGTATATTACTAAAATATATTTAGTTACGGTAATTCTAAGAACAATTAGATTTGAATACTTCCGCCTAACTCATTACCATGTAGCTTTTGTGCTTATATCATCATACTAATATAAATAAGAATTAACATGCTTGTATTTTCCACTTCAAATGATATACTTAGTAAAATCTAATTTACTTCATTGAAACATACACTTTATAAACAAATATTTTAAAAATAAGAAATAACTGTCTCAATACCATATAATCTCTTTCATTGAACTATGCTTTATAAAATTATAGTATTTTAAAAATAAGAAAAGTAACTATTTTAATAAAATATCATTTGTCTTCATTGAAATCGAATTTATATACGTTTTTAAGATAGGGATCTATCTTAACAATATTAACTATCAAAATGCTAATAAAAAATTATCTGCCCGCCCTGCTATTGGGCTGGGAGAGGAAAGTGACTAGAACAGTAATCAGTTGATCCACTGAGAGATATTCCTCGTTTTGGTTGATAAGGTGTTGTTCGATCCACCATCTTAATACAATCAATGATGGGACACACGGATACACATAGCGTACAACCAGTACAATCATCGGTTACTCGAGGCAAGTGAGTCTCTGGATCAAAGGTTATAGCTTGATATCCAGAGTCGTTGCATGTCATATAACATTTTCCACAGTTGATGCACATTTCCTACAAAATGTAACAAGACTGAAATAACTTCACAAAAACTGCTAACTACTTTTATCCTAATGTTTTCTTTGTATAATGAGCTAATACAATAAGCAATTCAAGAAACCAATAACCATTTTTATCTTCCGTGTTTTTTTAGTATAATTAGCTGATACAGCAACAGTAATTCAAGAAACCAATAACTATTTTTATCTTCCGTGTTTTTTAGTAAAATAAGCTAATACAATAACAGTAATTCAAGAAACCAATAACTATTTTTATCTTCCGTGTTTTTTTAGTATAATGAGCTAATACAGTAAAAGTAATTCAAGAAACCAATAACCATTTTTATCTTCCGTGTTTTTTTAGTATACTTGAGCTAATACAGTAAAAGTAATTCAAGAAACCAATAACCATTTTTATCTCCCGTGTTTTTTAGTATAATGAGCTGATACAGCAACAGTAATTCAAGAAACCAATAACTATTTTTATATTCGTTGGTTTTTAGTAAAATGAGCTAATACAGTAAAAGTAATTCAAGAAACAAATAACCATTTTATATCTTTCGTGTTTTTTTAGTATAATGAGCTAATACAGTAACAGTAATTCAAGAAACCAATAACCATTTTTATCTGCGTTGTTTTTTAGTAAAATGAGCTAATACAGTAAAAGTAATTCAAGAAACCAATA